TTTTCATTTCGACTTTGACCTCCAAAGTCGAAACATTTCGACTTTTGGGTTTTCATTTCGACTTCATGTATAATCAGGACATTTCAAAGACGTTGACCTACACCAGTATATATGTTGATCAACACTAACTCATAGTTTAACATAATACATAACATTACACAATGCTGTGTACTAAAGTTTATCTACACATACCATTGTTATACATGTTTTTTAACACTATCAATTATTTATCATGTTATATACTATTGTGCAATGGCGTATACAAACGCATACTGTGACTTATCAAAAAATTAAAAATTTAAATTTAAACTTTATTTTTATGAATTAAAACATGTATACATTTACAAAATATTCATTTGGTCATTCAACACGTTGAATTATATGCACTAATTCAATGATTGACTCTACAGGCACAACGTTATATGTATTTGTAATCTGCAATAAGAGGTAATCGTATTTGTATAAACGTCTTGAATCATATTTGTAATGAAAATCATACCATCGTATAAGGGCAAGGTCAAAAGATGAATAATCTTCCATTTCAACATTAATTAACATAAGAACCTAAATACATAAAATACATTGATAATTGACATTGTTATTAATATAAAACTACTAGTATTATCAACTGTATCTTGCCAAAACATAAACTTTTGTCTGTATTATAGTCTTCAGTTTCTTCTTCACTCATGTTGATCGATACATCGCTAAATGACAGTTCATTGTAATATTTGCTTTTTACTCTAATATAATTTCCACTAGGAATAGCATTAGTATAGCTATACCAGCTAATTTTATAATTAATCATGTCAGTTACGCCTTCATACAAGTCAAAAAATTCATTTAACGCTAGTAGAAAGTGTTCAAAAGCCATTAAAGCTTCGTCAGCCAAATCATTATTTGACTTGTAATTATTAAAAAATTTGTCAAAATCTTTTAAAAAAAACGTGCTTAAAAGGCCGTTCATTGTCAGCGTCAGTTAACAGCTACATGTTGATGCGATAAATATTTAACTATCAAATTACAATAAACCTATAAAAAACAATAACAATTTAACATACATAATCGTTAAAATAATGAGTAAAATAGATACTAATCATTTTAATCATTTGATTCGTTGCATTACGCTTATTACTGATTCTATATGGTTTTTTAACAGAATCTTTGTGCAAAGATTCATATGTTTTTGTTGTAAAACTGTTAATCAACCCATATTCTTTAATTGCTGTAACGATATGATAATACCAGTTGTATAGTTTTGGTAATTGAAGCTCTGATAGAGAATACGATTTAAAGGGCTTTATAAACGATATTGCCCAACTCGTAATTAATTCATACAATTAATTCATTACATTAATAATCGGACTTTAGTACCATAACTTTAAAAACTCATTAATCCATTATACCTCAAAAATATATAACTCTGATTCCAAAAAATGTTTCTGTCGACTGTACAAGTATATCTTATTCCAGCTATAGTACACGCTAACTAATAGTTCATCGGCATTTTTAGTTTGATTTTTGCTTACCGATTCTTTGTGATGCTTTTTGATTAATCCTTCAATGATGAAAAGAAACACCTTCATCATATTCCAAAAATCATCTGCCGTAAACCGCTTAATATTTTTCAACCCATTTTTAAACAACTTGAGTCTGGAAAATCTTGGAATTTGGGTTAGGCAATTATCAAATTCGTCAATTGCTACTTTATTACAGTAATTCATCAGTAATTTCCTTATATAATTCATTTGGTAATTGAATAAGTCCAAGTCAAGATGATGCATGCGATCGGAAATTATTGTCAAATAAATGTTTAAATGACTAAGTAAATAAATGTTATTAAGAAATCATCATAATCAATTCTTTTAATTAATCACGTGATACGTACGGGTATTTCCAGAAGATGTTTTCTATATTATGTAAAGAGTATCGTTATGCAAAATCGTGTTCAACAATACTCTTCATACTTTCTGGTATTCTCAGAATAATTTGTTCGTTTTCAATTTTACATTATTCAGGTTTTCGCTTTCTATTAAACACTGATGACATGAATATTTACAATTGATGGAATTATACATTAGAGTTACTGCAGCATTTTCTGGAAGATTTCCTAGCATCACAGAAATAAACGGGTAATACTATAGTAATTCATTGTTATCCATTTTAAGGTCAATCCCATCAGCCTTATAATCAAGTATCAGGCATGTCAATATACTTAAAGCATATTGATAAAGGACACGTTTAGCCAATTGATAGTCCTTAGATTTTTTTTCAGAGTTGGTTTTTGCCTTCAATTGTGAAAGATATCCCAAAAAAACTTTTGCATCGGGTTTATTCCTAATTCAGCTAGGTATATTTCCTAAGGTTAAATAAATGGGATATTAGCTGGTTTTGCCCAATTGGTCGCATGTCATCATGTCAGAATACATTATCGACAAGACTTTTGCTTCTCTGGAAATCGAATTTTATACTCTTTCCCATCACTCCCTGTTATACTATTCATGATAAATTCTCTGATCTTCATGATTCAATGGCTCAAATTTAAATTTATAATGATGAAATATATTTTGATTGCTTAACAACTCCTTTATAGCATCAAAAATTTGATGGTAATAAAGGTAATATATTTCCTCTTTATATACCATAATAGGGACCTTTTTAAAAGAAATATGTGATACATTCATCTGATTTAACAACTGACAGCCCTTTTTTATAGACGTTGGTAAAATTACACCATCGTGACAAATCTTTTTTGAAAATTTAAGTATATCGCTGCCATATGCATCTGATAAGTTCCATTTGGTAAGTAACTTCATAAAATCTCTAAATTCATTGCTTGGAAATTCTGGAATGTCTGTTGTTGAATTACTAATATTAAGAGACTCAAGGATTGGACTTGTTTCAATGGGAAGTAATAAATATTTGATCTCATCGTTGTCGATCATCTGCTATATATAGATGTTAATATAATATCGCATCAAATAACTATGTAACACATTGATCTTCTAGCATATCTCAAATGTGTATCAGGTTATGCCGAAAAAAATACTTTTTTGGAAATGATCGATATAATGAGCTCCACAGACAATTTTTTACGAATTTTTTTTCTTTCGAAATCAAACCTTAATAACATTATATTTAGACCTAAATATTATATATGTAGGTGTATTTTTGCTTGTACTGCAAGTTTACTTAAGATGGCAGGTTGGGTTTTTGCAGTAGAATTTGACTTTGACGCTTTTTTTTTGAAAAATGTGTTACATACTTTAAGCCATATAATCGGCATAATCTGACACACATTTGAGCTGTGCAATCTCCCACCTCTTCTTCAAGTTATTTTTCATAACTAAACTCCTCCTCTTCTTCAAGTTGTTCGTCATAACTCAACTCCTCTTCTTCAAGTTGTTCTTTGTAACTAAACTCCTCCTTTTCTTCTAGTTGTTCATTATAACTCAATTCTTCCTCTTCTTCTAGTTACTCATCATAATTCAACTCTTCTTCTTCTTCTAGTTGTGCATGTGCCTGTTCTACTTCTTCAGAAATTTTTTGTAAAGCTCTGTCAACTACTGCATTATCATGAATCTTTACGTGATTTTGTAGTGAAGCACGATGACTAAACTTTCTTCTACAAGTTGAACATATATAACTTGGCATTTATTTAATAAAATAAGATGTGGATTTAACTACTAAGTTAAATTAATGTGATGAATTTAAGGATTTCAGAACATTATGATGTTTAAACTGAATTGAATTGATTAATGATCAATTCACGCCTCTCATCATTAAATTAATTAACGAGATTAATCACGTTATCTAAAAACACAAAAATAAAAAGAATCAAGAAACACCAATATCCAACATCTTTTTTAC